ATCTGTACTTTACTCAGAAAGTGTTATCCGAAATATAACATTTGTTGTAAGATTCACATGATTTGCCTTTGCCTATCATTTACTGCTATACCCCTCCCACTCTTTCTTTCAGTTACTCTTGTTTGGTCCATTGCTGTGCTTCAGAAGGTGGAATCGGTCCAAACTGCCAACACTCTATAAAAAGAATTATACAACAATAGAAGGTCTAAACACAACGAACAGCGATCAGTGACACCCCATGATAACATGAGGTCCTCGCCAAGCAGACTGATTTCACATTTTCTTCAATATATTTCCTCACATCTCCGTGTAATTTGGAGCCGGTGTTGCGGTATTAACTCAAACTGACTTTGATAGGATATTAATTCCTGGGCAAGGACATACTTTCCTTGAGAGTAGTAGTTCCCAACAATGATATCTATTTTCCAATGTCCTCCGGAGAGTCTGTACCAGGATGTAACTCTTCCTCCCATGTGGATACATTCCTAGCCCCTTTAAAGTCTCCCCTACATACCAATTTGTTTTAAACTGTTTATTTCTTGAGAAGCTTATGTTCAATTATTAATAGTATTTTAGCCGAACTTGTATTGTCATAATATGCCAAAATTATTTCATCATTATTGATAGGGTATTTGTTTAAACTTAAAATGATCTAATTATTTGTATATGTTAAACATTTCCATTTACTCACTCACCCAGCCAATGTTAAGTTGTGAGTTCTTTACATTACGTTCGGTCGATAAATGCTGAGTTAACATGCATCTTTCTGAACGGTATATATGGGAGTATTTGTATCGAATATATAATATGTTTAGTTTAAAAAAGTTTGGATAGAGTTTATACCTGGGGCGAATGTTTTCGTGTTACCAAAAATGTTAGCGACCAGAACTGTCGGTCCTTCATTTATAGCGTTATTAATCAGTCATGTGTATTCTAAAGCCTATTGCACGACTAGTACAGCAATGTTGAACACTCATAAGTGGCTTCACATTTGCATCTCTGTCAAATATAACAGAAGTGATTCGGAGATGACATCGCCCCTGTTTTCTCATGTTATCATCACTAAATCATTATATAGCATCAACCAAACCGGGAAAAACGATACTGAATATATTGACAGTATTTGATTTTTATGTTAAACATTCACATCTATATGCATTGAAACTGTTTTGGGGTTTATTATTAATGATACTAGCAAAAACGGTACATCATGGGTCTGTTATATGTAAACAGAAGCGACAAAAAGCTTCCATATTCAATATATAGATATCTGCTAAAAGCAGTCGATTGTACAATACCGACTATGTCATGAGCATGTTTATGAATAACTATCAACTAGTGATGATAAGAAAATATAGTACAAGTCAAAGAGGGAATAAGATCGGACATCATTTTTGTCATTGATGCGTCCAATTTGGAAATGTCCTCCACATGTCACCTATTACATTTTTGAAAACTTTACCGGGGCCTCGAATGCTGTAACCTTGATGAAACAACTATTCAGCTGAAGTAGTATGATGCTCTTCGAACACTTTGCAGAAAGAACATGCTGGATTATATCTCACACGTTGTGAAATGTAGACGCCAAATGCTGTAGCTGCTGGAATATTGTTCACACACAGGGAAAGTTTTGTCACTATGACTCTTTATGCATAGATGTGAACATTAAACAGATAATGCGGCCTCACTGATCTCTTTTGTTTCGAGTTCAATGTGTAAAGTGGTGGAAGGGAATTGGCTATTTGACTGGTAATGAATGATATCAGATCATCGACAAACCTGAAGCTTATGTTAAGCTTCCCTTGTTTTGACTTTTCCAATCCAAGCAGAAATTCCGATTTTTATGCATAAATAAACAGATCAGCAAGACGGGGAGGACAACCGACCAACTGATACCCGTGGGGATGCCAACTTCTTGCCGGTTGGCCACTGAAGCATGACATTGTGGTTGCATTCTGAAGGCTGACCAAACATGTGTCGCACGTGGCAGCCTTACTGTGATTCGCACCTGAGAACAACGCTTTGTATTAGTCGGGTCTTGACCATTGGACAGCGGCTTGGCAGGTTGTGTACCATCTGATGGACTCCCGTATTTGAAGGACACGTTTCCTGACAATGCTTGTCTGAATGTCTTACCCCTAAGTTGCACATGCCCCTACGATCACAGAATGAAGGTTTTCCTCAGGTTCCTCCAGTGAAGTACAGAGTAGTGAACTTGCATTTTGTAGCTCTGTTTTTTAGAACAATTCAAACAAATCCTCTGAGTTTTTAAGAATCCATATGATATCAATTCCACTTGATTCAGATACTTTCTGTGAAAATACGGAAAGTTCGTCCTTGGATGTAATAACGGTTATGGATTAAGGAAAATATATCAATCAATAAATAATCAGTGTAAATTGTTTTGGCTTGTTTTACTCTGTAGTCGGCAGCCTGGAAACAATCTAGTCAGGGCCAGACAACCCATTGGTTGATATTATTAGCAACGTTCAAAGCCGTCAGGTGACGATGACATACAATTAACCAAGACATTGAGGATTACCACCCGATCCATTTCATTTTCCCTAACGACCAACAAATGCGTACTGACAACCTATTCCCATCCCTGTCCCAATGGGGTGGAAATGTAATTAAAAATATTTATACAAATTTAGACCAATCTTGTATTAATATAACAAAAAAACAATATGCTAATTTAACAATTCACGAAACCAGTAGCAAATGTCTTCAAACTTTCATGAAGAACTAATTCCTGTTCTTGTCTGAAAGAATGAAATAGATATCAGCACAGGTGCGTTTACTGTATCCCTTGCTCCATCATCTACCTCCAAATACGTTATACTATGCGTGTCAACTTAAGCATTAATGTTTGAAAAAAGCACGGGTAGGTGTTTAGGAAGACAATATGGCGGTCCTCCCCAAGCAGCTTCCGGTTTTCGTTTTCGAACTGAAATCATTATTTGTGACAAACCATGAGATTAGGGACCTTATGGATGAAAATCACATTTTGACGTCTTATTATATTTTAAGACTACAGTATCTTAGGACCACAAAAACACAATAGATAAGCTTTTCATATTTATTACAGAGACACGCGTTTATGTAATAACTGCAGTTTTTAGATATGTCTGATTAATTGAAAGGAGATATGTATGCTGAACTGCTTTGAAATAATGTTTTTGTTACGTTACGAACTAACGAAAGAAAAATACGATTTTTTTACAGTCCACGGTCTTTACGGAAGTTTACGTCAAAGAACAATATGGACCCTAATACCCATAAGGTCCCCTTTCTCCAGGTGGGTCACATTTTATGTTCAGATTCAAAGAAATAATGTACAAACATAAAACAATGGAATGGGCATTAATATTATCTTGATTATGGAACCAGTTTCCGATTTCGATGTAGGCTGTACTGAATACGTTCGCATGTCATGCTATATTAATAGAAACAGTAAATTAACTGTGAAAGTGAGAAGGCACGAAAGCAAGTTTGTCTTGAGCGAACTAATCGTCATGTATTTAAAACCTGCAGTAGACCTTAACGCGAAAACATGGGGGATATATTCGTTTATCTCATACAATGGTTGGGTTTCTCGGCAAGATAAAGCCAACAAATAAAAACGATATCCGTTGTGGTTATATGCGGATAGAGATACAAATACCAAATGTCAAGTAGGTACTAGTTTCACTGTTTATAAACAAACATGGCGTCGTCCTTGTCATTCGGGGATCAAGTCAGAATTAACCATCGAGAATCTTGGGAAACTACTAGGATTATTGCTATCGCTATCAAAAGAATATTCCCCTGCGGCTTGGAAACTTTTTCATAAATTAAAACAGTTAGATTTGTTACCTTGTTTCGTTTTGTCGCTGTGTGTACATCTGATTGCATTTCCTAACGTTATGACAGGACAAGCCGACTGCTAGTGTTAGAGTAGTTTCCCTTTGATAAAGGGCAATTACTATATCCGGCAGAACGATTGATTGCCGCGTACTATATATTAATGCGCACATTCCACTTGCAACGTTTCTGTAATGTTTCTGTGAGGTGGGAAGCGATTTTCGAGCACAGGATTGAAGAATGACATTGTATGATAAAGAGGTTATCACGCTTGTGTACTTTGGGACGGTTAATATCTTGTATTAGGATTCATTGTATTTATTTACTTACCCACTCATTCACTCACTTACTTATGCGAACACGTGCACACGCACGCCCACGGAAACAAACTCTTTGTTATCTCTCAGAACGGTAGACAGTAATTCTCGTTAAGCATTATAAAATTAAGAGGCCCATAGATTTCTCATAAGAACGTATTGTCGCAAATAACTGAAAATGTCGTCATCAATTGTTCGTTACGATTTAATGTGATGTTGTTCAAAAAGTAGAGTACACATGTAACTAAGCTGATGTTTCCGTATGTCATCAGAAAAAGCACATTTTCACATTTTCTCAATATACCAATTTTCAATAATCTGTTGGTTGATGCATGTCATCGTGTCCCAATTGCGTGGAACGATGCTCATAATGTCAATCACTGGATTTTCTGGTCCAGACTCGGTTATTTACAAACCGCCGTCATATAGCTGGAATATTGCTTAGCGCGGCGTTAAACATCAAACAAACCAACCAAACCAACTGTAAGGACTTTCCCTTGGATGCTGCTGAATGTGTTTGTCGTGATGCGAAGTAGGCAGCCGATTACTGTCAGTTCATAAAAGCAACAAAACAGTTTCCATAACCATAAAGCAATCTCTACTGAGAGCAGTGTGAGTTGTACGTCTCCTACTGCATCATGGACTTGTATTTATGAAACAATATCAAATAGTGTTGATACCAGGTGTTCGCAAAAAGGTCACGTATGCTGCCCCTGTGGTGTCACTCGTCACAAGCACATGCAAAGGCAAGTCAATTGTCAGCTAAAAAACACGGTCATGCCTGTCAATAACAACAGATACCTGGAGGTCGTTATTTCATTGAAAACAGTGTGTCCTTTATTCAGCAGTATCTTCAGTGTTTACATTTGATTCTGATGTCGATCTTCAGTCGCATCTCTTCAATTGTGAAATTCACATGTTTATGCTCTCATAACCGTAAAATCAGTTCAATTCTAAATAATTTTTCATGATTACGTTCTTCAGTTTGCTTTTGTTCCATAATCCGATCAACAAGAATGGCACGAAAGCCAGGAACTGGAAAAGAAGACAGAAAAAGTCACATGAACGTCAAACATGGAGTCAGGTGTCGTTTGTATTTAATCTTTGAGACATTTACACTTCATGATACTTACAGTGATCATAATGAAAATGGAACATGCTGTCATCGTCCATGGAAATCCGTAATGTTGAACCAGTATTCCACCTGCTAATGGTCCGGTGAAATTTCTGTAAAATATATTATCGTTTAAATACAGAAAACATCTATTGAGTTAGTTTCATATTAGAATTTTTCATCTTTTGTTGTGATCTGAAAGAGAATGCATTTGTCAATTCTGGAAATAATAACGTTTCCCGTGTTAGATCACATATTATGCAAGAAATACATAACTCACCCAAAATAAGTAGCAGATTGAATAACGCCAGCCAGAGGCCCAAATAAAGCTCCATCATCCTCAAGTCCCATATTTCTGAAACAAGATCATGTCCGAAGAACTGAAGGTAACCCTGTTGAACGTGAATGGAACATATAACTGTAACAACTGTCGCTGTTAAATATGTCCATAACTCTGTACCACTTGCAATACTAGATATCGTATCACCTCACCTGTAAATCATCATTTGAGTGGTGAGGTTATCATTAAACTATATTGGCAACGTTTGTTTGTTCAATTGTTGAACCATAAAAACTCAACACTAGTGCCCATAATATACCATTTTGGGTTTAGGCGCCAATATCTGCTGTGCCGATTTGCGTCCGTCACTCCGTTGATTACGTTTTTCAGTTTATCCGCACCATAGCCATGCTCGGGGGTTTCACCAAAGTGGTAATGTCTAAAATCCGCATCACCTCTGGCTCATAAAGGTGGCACGCTTTGCTATTATTGGCAAGAATATAATTAACTCACTCGCTCAAATAACGAGTCTAACTACGATAGACTGTTTTAATTGAGTTGTCAAAGATGCTGAACAGCTTTGGATTGGACTGGTTTAGATGGCCTTCTCCTTGCCGTTTACAAAGATAACCGCAGGGAGAAATTACTTTATCATCATTTACATGATGCTTGCCAGGCATTTCTTTTGTTCTTTCTTTGGGAAGAGGAGGGAATTAGACGTTGCGAAATCTGGATGTTCAATGAGTTTAAATCCACAGCCAAGTATTGCAGCCATAGCAACAGCATGTCTTTGCATAGACATTGACCTGGTGGAACAACACACATTTAAATTAATTTTCCACGACTTTTACCCTGATATTTTCATGCAGTTGCCCAAGCATATTGGCTTGCAATGAGTTGTCTACCAGTAGGATTCCATCAGAATCACAGAACATCGAAGCACAGGAGTCCGTATCTAAAAATAGACACCCTCATGCATATTCATGACCATCTCCACACGCGAGTTCGGGCTCGCGTGTGGAGATGGTCATGAATATGCATGAGGGTGTCTATTTTTAGATACGGACTCCTGTGATCGAAGCCATCACCTTGGAACAGATTGTGCTTCTTCGGAGAAGGAGACGTCAGTTGTCTCTGCTCCATTAACTGATATCTAGTCCGGATCCGCATATAAACGAGGTAAATTCTCACGAGAGATGATGAACGTGTAGCGTTTCTGATCAGAAAGTCCTAGTACCCAGCATGCTAAAACCTTTGTCATACCCATCTGTCATGTGAGATGCCTACCGCAATTGCTACGTGACGTGACGTCTTGTATGTCGTCGATTTTCCATTTTGTCGTCGAATTTCCATTTGCTGACGTGGTTGATGCATGTCATCGTATCCCAATCGCGTGGATCGATGCTTTGATGTCAATCATTGGATTGTCTGGTCCAGGCTCGATTATTTACAGACCGCCGTCATATATAGCTGGAATATTGCCGAGTCCGGCGTTAAATAACTAACAAAAAAACTTATTTTATTCATAAGTCATTGATATTGTGTGATCAGTTACTTATTTTGCTCTTTAGTTCTGTGCGTACCGATTTCTGGGTTACATTCTGAATTTAAATTTGGAAGTCACCTCGTTACAATATTCAGATATACCCTCCATATTTCGTTTATACAACAACCTGGCGAATGAGTACATGAATTAATGAATCAATAGATCATGTTTCATAACATTTTTACAACGTGTGTATTAATACTGGTTTTGGTATGTGTAGAAACTCACCTGGCCTCCTGGAATATGTTCTTCACGGAACTGACAGTGACTGGGGCAAAGAAAAATCCTATGAAGGCTGACATCAGTATTGTCAGCCACAACACGCTGGAAAAGACAAACAACATTGTGTAAAGTGGTAAAGATTACCGTGATAGCTACTTAGCATTATAGTATGTGGGTTACTACAAGTGCATGCTTCAAGTGTAATTAATACCAAAACGAGGGTACGAATGAAGGTAGAGTAAGACACTACTGATGAGAGATCTAGGAGTCCAGGATGTTTTATTTTAAGGCAAGTGCCAAATAATATGAGACTCGTGAAGATTCCGGGGTAGAATAGGTCTTCAGCAACCCATACTTGTTGTAAAAGGCGACTAACGGGATCGGATGGTCAGGCTCGCTGACTTTGTTGATACATGTCATCGATCCCAATTGCGTGGGTAGATTATTTACAGACCGCCGTCATATAGCTGGAATATTGCTGAGTGCGGCGTAGAAAAACAAACCAAACCAAATAATATGATGACTCAATCTCTTCAAAGTAAGCGGGCACTGCTTAAGCTGAATATTGAGTTCGCAAGAGATCTGATGCCAACACTTACGTGGGAACAAAACGCAAAAATGGAGCCGGTCCAAAAAATAAGTAGCTGATGGATAGACAACACATTCCCATGCACAAAGATGGGACGGCTGGCACCTATTATAACAAGGAATTATTGACACATTTAATAATAACTTACACATTTACGCGTTGCACATGTATATGTACACTGGTCATCAAACAACTAATTCTGCTTTTTAAAGAGAAAGCCGTGTTTTGACAAGAATTATACGGATGCAATACATACCTATACTGTCGCATACAGGGGTGAATTATTACCGTATATTCCTGTTTTCTCCAGTGAGAGGATATATTGTTTAAAGTGTTACAAAACACTTACTCACTTTTTTAAAATGATCAAGAATTATTATCTTGTTGCCAGTTAGTAATTTCATGATGACACATCATCAACAAAGTCGCAACCAACTAGTAAACCCTTGAAACACTGGTACTGTTCCACATTACATACGTTGCGATCAAGGAGATGTCCCCATAGAGGCACGGCAACTGTGTAGGCGGTTGGTGCTGCCATGAAGATGACCCCAATGATACCTTGGTTTAGATTAAACTGAAACAATAGATCGTCTCAAGTAGGTAAACTCTCTGGACATTTGTTCATGTCTAAATTGGTACGCTGCAATACGTGAAACGCTGCAGGTTACACTATGTTTGAATGCATATTAAATGGTTTCCTTACGAATATCTCGTTAAAATTACGTTTTAATCAATATACATATTACATATTATCATTCATCATATCGCCGGGTTATACATTCATCGTATGATGCACAGACGCTTTCCGCTCACATATTTATCAAGTGATAGTTATTGGCAAAATCAAAACAAGGGAATTTGGTCAATATGTTTGACTTTAGCTTAAGGTATTGCGATGATCTGCTATCGTTCGATAACGGTCTTATAGCCAATTGTCTCCACTGATTTACCCACCTGACCTAATCATAAAAGAGACAAGTGAAACTGGTTCATGATCATATGTTTCATATTTAGAACTAGTTATAAAGTGACAAGAAACAATCCACAAGAAGATATGACAAAAGGGATGATTTCTTCTTTCGCTTTACGTCAAGCAATATTTCTGAAGTTCCAGACTTTACTGTCTACATTTCACAACTTCTAATGTACATCGGCTCGAGTAGCAGGCTCTTTCCACGACCATTTCAAAGAGCATCCATCATATTTGATCATAGGTGTGGCATTCAAGGCCTTAGTAAGCTTTTCAAACAGCTTTATGGCATTTGAAGGACATTTCCAAATTGGACGCATCAGTGACAAAAATGATGTCAAAGGAATTCCCGATTTTGACTTGTACCATATATCCCTGGTTTTTTTTTCAGGTGAACAACTTGCCTTTGCCTGTGTTTGTGACGGTTAGACATCGAACACCAAATGAATCAAAAACACATGCTTATGATATAGTCGAAACCGTACAATGTGCTCTCCTTTTAACAGAAATATCCCAGGATTATGGAATGGTTTTGTCGCTTTCAGTTATACCTACCTGTAGCAAGTGCTGGGCATAGAACGGGAACAGGGAGCATATGCCAAATTGAGAAGAGAAGATCGAGAGGATTCCAAACCACACCAATGTACTTCTAAAGAACCCGACACCAGACAGGCTCTGTTTGGAAGGAACAACTACAACAAAATGTTATCAAAATGCTATCAGTCCAGAAGACATGATACCAATTACTCGTGCATGTTATATAGCATCATAGAAATGAACAGAGATGTGTTCACAGCAAACTTTACTTTTTACTCGTTCAATTTTCCAATTATTGTTTCTTTCAATGTATATGCTTTGTGTCTGTTACAACATGTCAAAACCAGAGAATAACCAGTGTTGGTTATCCGCTGAAACAGGTACCATTGGGCGAAAGGCAAAACTAGGTGTGAAAATTATATGTATGGATCACTGAAAATCAGTATGATGCTTGGGTTCGTTTGTCCTGTAGACCAAAATAGGATTATTTCCTTTTGGAAAAAAGGATTTCTTAATCTATTAAGTCCCTGTTATGTATCTCATGTGTTGCAACCTACTTGGTCGAGGATTACCTTCAAAGGCGTTTGCGTACAAGTCAGGGTGGCAAACACATAACGGTGACACAACGATGAAAGGGCGTTAACCTTATAACCTTATAACCTTCCCGCAAAGTTGTGACAACATTTATATTTTGGGGTGAGAGATACACCTTTGCCTTATGTCACATTATATCATCAGTAAATCGAAGTATAATAGATACCATGTCAAATGTCAAACGGCAATGAACAAATCTTTTTGAGGTGATACTTTTAACATACAGATCCCAATTCATTTAGTGGAGACATTAAATGTATTGACAGCCAAATCCAGACAATACTTTCATCGGAACATTTATGGGTTAACTATTATTGAAATAGAATAAGATTGTAGCTTACCTGGTATTTTTACTTATTCCAGTAAAATAAGATCACGCATTGAGTTGTTTAGAATTTTAAATAAAGGATATAATGTCCAATGGTTTACCATGGTATTATATAAATAACCACACTAAACGATGAATGATACTTGATTGGAAGTGATGTCTGATGTTAGGGTACTCACGTTTTGCTTCTTGGTGAGGAAGTAGAAGACAGGAGGCGCCTCCACAGACAAACGTGCAGCTCCCGAGTACCCAAAAGGGGAGTCCATACCCACCTAACTGATGTTATAAACATAACTGATATGGCAGCAGTACATAACATATACATTTTTGCACATTTTACATTAAACAGTAAAGTGTTATTTTTGCCAAAAGGAACGAGTTTTGCCATTTATTTATTTATTCGTATGCATACATGATACTCCTGATATAGGGAACGATTATTATGAATCATTCGAAATGTTCATTCAATGATTTTACGATACGCATAGTATATGATTGTTAGCATTATATTGATAATAATAGCTCTTTAATGGTTGAAAACTGCCATGTTTGTTGTCCATTAAAAAAACTGAACAACGACATACTTGTGTAATGTTAATGTGATACAGTTGCATTAAGCGAATGAAGCCTCTCACCTGATATAAAGCACCTCCTAATGCTGGCCCAATCATTAACGCAATTCCAACTGCAGTCCTTAACACGCTCTACAAAACAGGATAATTGTAAGAAAGGACCGACTCGGCAGTGTAGCTCACAAGGATATTCAGTGTTAGGCTTACATGTATTTGAACACCTTAATATGTTAGCTAAAGCAACACTTTATGATGGTTATATTAATATACACGCTTCAAATAAAGAAACGCATAGGTGTTTTGAGAATTCCAATTAGATTTCCTTTTCCCAGCAATCGTCATAAAGAAAATTCTTATGTTTGATTCCCGTTAATCATGTCATGTTTGTTGTGTATTGCGCGCAAACACATCTCAAAATGTTGTTCTTTGCAAATGTATATCAGCAAAAATGCAAAGGATGCACGGAAATTGCTTTCATAAAAAGTTTTCAGCACAATGCACGTGTAAAGTGTTGGAAACAAGAATAGAGACACTGACTATAAAAGACCGTACAAAATTCATCAGTTCATTACGAATTTTCTGACGTGAACGGAGATCGAAAAATTGATTGCAGCTGACCGAAATATCGCCATTGGACGTTTGGAAGCAGGGGCGTCCCAGTCTGCCGTTGCAAGGCTCTTCAACGTTCACCAAAGCACGATATGGGATCGATATACCCGCACTCATTCGACTCAAGATCATCCCAGAAGTGGAAGACCAAGAGTGACCACCCCTGCTCAGGATCGGTACACCCGGTTGCATCACCTTCGGAATCGATTTGCTACAGCAACGGACACTGCAGGACACGTGCCTGGTATGCGAAGAATTTCCGACCAAACCCTCAAAAATCGTCTGAGGGAAGTGGGAATTCGAGCGAGACGACCAAAAGTTGGACCTGTCTTGCGACGTCTACACCGTCAACGACGTGTCCGGTGGTGCAACAGAGTACAGGCATGGGATCGCAGGAACTGGCGACGCGTTTGGTTCAGCGATGAGTCACGTTTTCTCCTTCAACGACGGGATGGAAGACAACGTGTATACAGACGTCGACTTTGCGTTTTGCGCCGAACTGCGTTCGACAGGTGGACCGATTTGGTGGAGGGAGTGTCGTGGTGTGGGGAGCCCTATCCTACACGGGTAGAAGAATTCCTCACGAAAGAATCCAACGACTTGTGCAATCTATGCCAAGGAGGTGTCGAGCAGTGACGGCTGCAAGAGGTGGTGTGACCAGGTAAGGACCATGACGCCCCTTGTCGCTACACATGTGCAATGACCGAACTGAATTAATGCTGAAAATGACAACAATGCTTTTATCGATCACTGTGTCCAATTTCATCTGATTGTGTTCACGCATATGCTGTGTAGATACTTTTCCATCCGCTTAATAAATCCTTATTTTTTACTATGCGTTTCTTTTTTTTGAAGAGTATGTTATAAAGTTCATTATTTCATTTTGTTTTCCTAATATGTGCATTACAATGCTTATTTATAATGTTGAAATGTGAATTGATACGTATGTGTTAAGAATTTTGTAGACTAGGAATATGGTACCGAAGAAAAAAACACAATTGTGATGCAATTTGAATCTGTGATGTAAATACGTGTAAGTATGTAATGAAGCTGGCTCTACTGTAGATATTAAGACTAATGTGGATATTACATAAGCACAGTTATGTTTTTACCTGCAGGTACTGGATTACTTGGGATTATGGGCTGGATGGCAAAATATTGAATGTACATAACTGCTTGATAACAAAAATAAAGTTGTGATGCAATAAAACGAAAGGTGATAATGATCACGTATTTCAAGAAACAACAGTGTGAACTGTTATAATCACAAACAACAAACGATTGTGACGACCTTTTACTTACGAATACTGTGGCGACTCTTTCTGGAAAACAAAACCCTGCAATTGTAAAGCTTGCGGTCATAACGGCTGACGTTCCTAATGCTTCTACACTCCTCACGATGAAACAAGCGACAATAAATGGCGTCCCTGGCGGTAATTTGTCTAGGCATCTGGGGAAAAACATAACAAAATAAATCTTTTTCATCCAGTCTACAATATTTGTACCGGTAGCCAATGTGAACAGTAGGTAATTATTTAATGAGGAAAGGATGTAGAACCGCTTTTAATCGTAAATTGCACATTTGCTTGTACGCTTAATGTGGGAGGGAGCCACAGTGAAATGCATGTCGTAGACTTAAGTAATGTCTTCAGTGTGGTGCTGGCAAACAAAGAAGTATCATGACATTCGAGCCAACGTGATCATCGGAACCTGTCATGACTTTCTGGGTGCAATCCTGTATGTTTGCCTTCATGGCAGAGGCGCAAGTTGTTAAGTTTCCAATTCCCAACCCGAAAGGGTGTATATACAAGATCCCCTACAACTGTGGCCACCAGTATGTGAGCGAAACACTCAGACCCCTCAACACCAGACTCATCAGACCTCTGTCAACAAACTTGACCTAAAATCCGCTATTTCCGAACACATCTTCAAGAACCTAGACCATAGCATCACGTTGGAAACCACCAAAGGTCTGTCTATCAATAACAAAAACTGGCGACAAAGAAAACTACAAGAAGCCATTGCCATCAGGAGACACCAGCCAGCCATGAGCCATGACCAGGGAACCTATTTGCCAAGTGTTTAGGATTTATTGCCTTGATCAATGTCGGTGCTAATTATCTAGCTGGCTTTCATTTATCCATTGTCGTCAGTTCCATTCTATTACACAGAGATTACTACACGAGTGTCTGTCAGATACCATTCATCTTACAACGAGTTGTTTCAAAACGTATATAACTCGCTTTCGCTCGTTAGATACGTTTTGAAACAACTCGTTGTAAGGTAAATGGCATCTGACAGGTACGAGTACAGTAATCTGTTTCTTACACACCCTTAAATTGAAACTTTTTAGCATCGAATCGATGCCTTTTGTCTATTTTCATGATCGCAGTGGCGCATTTATACATAACATCACGGTCATGAGTGACGCTATCCGACGTACGGCTTACTACGCATAAATAATGTGACAAAAAGGTTTTCCGCGATATCTTGATTATCAAGGCGAATGTGATAATGCAAACATGGATAAGGCCAAAGAACACGCCGCATGCCGAGGCCGAAATGTTTTCACCTCAAAGAAAAGACCAAATATGTACAACAATGTTTACTTCCGTATGACATCACTACCGCTGACCGACTTTTACAAAATGGCGTGTTCACTGACAACAGTACGCGAGATTTCCAGAGCAGGATTATTGTTGATTGAGGGATCGTATACACATAAATGTGTCATGTAAGTAATCAGAAACATTCTGACAATCTGCGTACTGTTATTTGTTTTATGTTTTCCAATGTAACCAAGAGAATTAGTCAGAAATGCAGATAACTACCGTCGTCGTTGTGCGTGACTTTGATGGCGTCACTCAGGACGGAAACTTTTACGATTTCTGTTGAATTTACTTGATCATTGTCATGTATATATTTTTAATTCCATAATTCGTGCTACGATACTCTTCCCATAAATAGTCTCAAACGCGTGAGCCAGTGTATGCAATATTAGACGAATGGATAGCTCTATTAGGAGAAAACGCTTCACAGTGTAAAATCTGAATTTCGCTTTGTTTACATTTTAACAAGTACAGTTCTCTGAGCACAGTGTTCTTTTCCACACCTTATTTATTTCGTTTGATTTCATCTAGATAATTTTTATTGGTGACAAGGACCATTTGTCATTTGATGCTATACGGGACTCTCAATAATAATCGGCACCTGAAACGTGATTTTGTAAACACTATCCAAAATGGCGGAAAACATTCTAAACCATTCTAGGCGACGTATCAAAATTATCATAAGTGAGTATAAATGACAAACACATACACATGATGACTAATAAGCTATTTATAAGCTCTTTATATTCAATTCAATTCTTCGAGTAAATATCCGATATTTAGATTTTTTAAACACAGTGTAAATAACGCCGTGAATAGTGATTTAGTAATGTGTCAAAACTGCCGATTTACGATGTACTGAATTTTCATAGGTCACTTTCAGTAATTTTGCTTTGCCTAAAATGGCAGTGAATGATATCACAGAAGAGGAAATTTCCCACAGAATTCAAAACAGTGAATTGTATTAGTGTGCGTAGTTTATTTTGTATTTGATTCGACTTCGAAGTGAGGGTTGAAGAGGAGGGACATATATGTCGATGTGGCATCCAGAGGGTTTACACTCTAAAAATTATCGTTCACAGACGTAGGTGAACATTCGACTGAAGCACGAGCATCTTATCAATGAATTACAATCAGGAAAGTAGTCCGTCATAATCTGACCTTAGGTCATCACCATGGAGTAGCCAATCACAGGCCTGGAATTCGATCTCACACATGTTTGATACCAGTTATCTCAAATGGGTTTCTCACTCACAGGTGTGTAGGAAAGGTTGGTATTACACCCCCTGTCGGGCTGATATGGCTTTTCAATGCATTTTGAATGGGCGATCTATCAGCTCGGAGGGTAAGAAATTAGACTTTTGTCCCTTGGTGCGTCTTCTTGCATCCAAACAAGGTGAACTTTACGTCATAAACGGAATTTAGAGATGTTTTAGGCTCAGGCTGATGTGGAGGTCTTGGGTTAATATGGGGTATGATACGAAAGCTGCCATAAAATAACCTCTAATTATGACATGATTTTCTTACTTCCTTGATAGTCAGTATGCCTCGCCCCATTGGACCATGTATTAGGAAAAGAGGTGTCTGACAAAATATTCAACAGTTTGTAGCGTTAGGTAAGCAGTGTTTGTTGGACAAACCTATCTCTCTATTGGTCTATGACTTAATAAATCTATAATTTACAATATTCTCTCCCAATAATTTCTGGTCAAACTATAATTCAACTTCACACAATCTTAATAGTATGTTAATCAGTTCCTAGTTTCTGCAATAAACGTCTCAAATAAACATAAATGCATCTTGATGGTTAAAGAAGGGTTTATTATTGTCACTATGTGGCTTTGTAAAACTTCCGAATGCTTGTTGACTCATGTAAAAGATACCAGTAGTAGTATTATGCTCTACTGAATAGAATATATTAATATCCATGTAAATGCAATTATCAAACCTGAAATCAGTCACAACCTGGTGTATGATTAAACTGTCGTTCATTGAGAACATTCCCATTACATTCGTACAAAGCACATTACCCGAATATTATATCACAGGCACCAAATAGACATAGTCCGGCAATGTAGAAAGGACGTGGATTGTACTTGGATAACTGAAAAATAAAGTTTCATCATTCGTATCACTTGTGATGTAAAATTGTGACAAACCTATTTCTCCCCGTTATTTCGGCTTAGAATTGGTCTTCAGAAACCCATGCTTATCGTAAGAGGCGACCAACAGGATCTGGAGGTTAGACTCGCTAAGTTGGTTGATGCATGTCACTGTATCCCAAATGCGTAGATCGATGCTCGTGATGTCACTCACTGGGTTGTCTGATCAAGACTCGATTATTCACAGGCCGCCATCATATATCAGCCGGAATGTTGCTGAGTAGGGCGTTAAACAACAAACAAACATATTTTAATATGACACATCCTATGATCTATGCATGCAGTTACATGTTTCAATGGTTTAGGTCAGAAGTATATTTCTTCCTATTTCATACATATTAATAAATTAGAAGCGTTAGATGCTGATGTATCGAAATAAGATTACTTCAGTTTAAAACTTACCATATGTCCAAATACTGGCGATGTGAGAAACGTGACTAATTCCGATGAACTATAAATGATACCAACGACAGTCAGACTGACACCCTTTTTAGCTGCCTGAAATTAAAACAATTAGAAAACAAGCATAACAGTAAGAGTGTTACCGATGGTCTTTTTGTAAACATTACATGTATCTACATTACCGTTGACAGATTGACTCACGCAGATTGACTTAACTTTGGTTTGGTTTGGTTTGGTTTGTTGTTTTACGCCGCACTCAGCAATATTCCAGCTATGGCGGCGGTCTGTAAATAATCGAGTCTGGACCAGACAATCCAGTGATTTTCATCATGAGCATCGATCCACGCATGCAATTGGGATCGATGACATGCATCAACCAAGTCAGCGAGCCTGACTTCACGATCCCGTTAGTCGCCTTTTACGACAAGCATAGTCGCGTTTTACGGCAAATATGGGTTTTGAAGACCTATTCTACCCGGATCTTTACGGGTCGATTTACTTAACTGATTCAGGCAGACCGATTTCTGATTTTCGCCTTGCATTGAAAACTAGTTACGACATATGCCTTCTGATTCATCCAATCATGTTTGTATGTGAGACCTTAGACCAATACATACAGTGAAAGTTGACACATAGTGTTAACTACAAAGGGTTAGAGTTTCGGGCTTTTAGATCTACATGTGGCGCTCTTTGTTGGAAAGCTGATCAACTAGGTTATTGAAAATAAATTTACTTTCGCATGGCAGATATTCGACTCTCTCTATTATTTATTATGACACCGAATCGCACATCCATATTGAAGAATCGCCTCTATTTGGCATAAAAAAGATAAACATTCACATCCGACATTATCAAAATATTTTAGTTCATTTGATCAGTTTTGAAATGTTTTGAAATGCTTAATTGTTCGTCCCGCCAGTAATATTGAACTTCACATGACATTAGTACCATTCTTAGACAACTGGAACTGGATACGGTACTCGGTTCCTTTACAAAGTGCTTTCAGCCACCCCCGACGTGATGACCGTGATGGGCACGATACTTCCCGTCCATAATCAACAGCATGACAGTTTTTTTTTAATTCGGGGTGGGGGGGGGGGGGGGGGGGGGGGATTTTCAATGGTTTAGGTCAGAAGTAACTGCATGCATAGATCATAGGGGAAATTTTCGATTTGGTTGTACTAAGTGAACTGCAAAATACTTTCTGCTTCAGTTAAACATCATCAGAAACTTCTAAATGAGTCTATATTTTGGAAATGTAGCTTTGTTGTTTGTTGTATAATAGCCAGGTAATCGGGTCAGTGGGTATCTTCTGTATATGTACGATTAAAGCCATAATTTAGGCATCGGGAATAAGTGACTAAAGCAACATCAAGACATGACAAAGCTTGTTATTAAACATTTGCACATTATGTGCAGATATCGTCACAATAAATACCCTCAACACAATTCCAAGCAATTCCTACTCGAGGTAACTAGTGACTGTATCACATGATATAGCAAGAAGATATCATATCTAATTGTAATATACTCATCACATATACCACACATGCCAATAATGTGTATAATTAGAGCATAAACATCTTTATGATACGCGCGGCACATATGTCTAAGATGGTGACAGGGTTTAACATTTGTGTTCGATATATCGCTCACCTCTATTGCGTAAAAGGGTGCCATGAGGGACATACAGCACACAGCACAGAAGTTGGACAGAACAATGACTGCCAGTGTTACTGTTTTCCTCCTGGTGTCCGTAACTTTTGGCGAGTTTTCAGCGATGACAGAATCTGCCATTGTGAGATACGCTGAATGCTGAAATGAAATGCATGATTTACGAAACGGTAACTAATTATGGTCACACATTGTGATAGATGAAATCATTTATTTCAATGAATTTCCGCTAAGTTAAAAGTGCATTATGGATTTTTGTTTATTGGACTTTATTCACTCTACTAATCTCCTCGGACAAGTTGGACATTAAAGCCATATACCTATTAATGTAAAAATTTTACTTTGTTTGCAGTACAGGTTAAACAGGCACAGTCAACGGGTGTTCCAAGTAATTTTGCGTTTTGCCGTTTGTGATTTGAAAGCTCATCGAACAGAGGAACGTGTTTTAATAGATCTAAGCTTGCCACTGCTGAATTAACAGTCTTCCAAGGCACAGAGTCAATTCAGGACACAGTGCCTAACTGTAGCATTCTTCTTTTGTAACGCAGCATTCCATCTGCAAATCACGCACATCAGTCTGGTGGAATGTTTCATTGTATCATTATATATATATAACATATATATATATATATCATACTTATATTGCAACTATTTTAACTTATTTTGTCAAACTGTCGTTTCGTAGAGAGGAGTTCATGTCATGTCAGTCAATAGATCTTCTGATTGAGACTCGACTATTTACAGATCGCCGTCATATAGCTGGAATAGTGCTGGGTGCGGCGTTGAGCCTCATACAAAAAATTCAGAAACTGAGAATGAAGACCCGAAAGAGATGTACACATGTACCAGTGCATCCATGTAATAGAATGTTGTACAAGCTTCTTCTCCTTCTTAATGTGTACATAAATATTTAGAAATAAAATGTGTACATACACAAGAGTATTTCGAATTATAATGCCACTATGTACACACACCTCTTCCTTTTGGGGGCAGGAGTGTCCATTAGCCTACACTGCAGCCGAGTGTCTACTTGCCCTTGCCTACTTTCGGTGCTTAAATCAGAGAACGTCTTACAAGATCAACATCCTGGTTTCTAGAACGTGGTTTTTACACTGGCCACAGCGACAGGCTGTCACATTTACGCTGTAATTATTCCAAAATTGCAAACAAAGACAAATTTTCGAAGTGGTTCAAAGTTTTCAAGCAACTCTCCCAAGTACTTTAATATACTGAACCAAATTAAAAACTTCACAATCCTAAAATTTTAACATTTTGACCAGTTATCATTGTGGGCCCTTATTGTGTATTTAAACAGGAATGGCCATGTATTGTCGTCAGATAACACCCGTTTTTGTGCAGGTGAATCCATCAAAATCATGTGCACAGCACTATAGTGGCAAAAGTGTTTTTTAACGTGCAACTGGTCACGTGGCCATAATACCGCACATGTTTTGAGCCGTACTCGTTAGCAGTCATTAACAAAAAAAGAAAAACACAAGAAAACAAAAGTCTCTACGGCCATTTGTCATGCCACGCCTTTCAAATGTGCAACGTGAACGTGCCATCGGCATGTTGCAGACGGGAACGTCCGTAGCTGAAGTCGCAAGGACGATGGGTTGTAGTCGACGGACTGTTTATGATTTACAGACGGGTCTACAGCAAACGGGTACCACCGCTGATCGCCCTCGGCCAGGTCGACCACGTGTGACGTCACATGCAGAGGATCGTCAGATTGTCTTACGTCACCTCTGTAACCGATTTGTGACGGCTACATCAACCAGAAATAAACTGTTTAGGGGTAGACTGAGTGCGCAAACTGTTCGAAACCGTCTGAGAACTGCTCGTCTTCAAGCACGACAGCTATACTGCGGGCCGATTCTGACTCAATTACACAGACGTCAACGTCAATTGTGGGCACAGCGACACTTACGATGGACTCAGAGGAATTGGAATCAAGTCGTCTTCAGTGATGAATCCCGATTTAATCTTCGAGTTGCTGATGGTAGGGCGAGGGTGTGGAGGCGCCGTCATGAACGTTACGCCCAGTGTTGTGTACAGGAAGTTGACAGATTTCGAGGCTGAAGTGTCATGGTGTGGGGTGCTTTCTGTGGCAATGCACGTTCCAGGCTTCTTGTCATCCGTGGCAACCTCAACGCTGCTGCTTACCGCGACCAGGTACTGGCACCAGAACTTCTGCCTTTTATGGCAGCACATGGACCCGGTTTGATCTTCCAACACGACAATGCCAGACCCCACACAGCAATTTTGACAAGGAATTTCCTTCAGAATGCGGGAGTCAACGTCATTGACTGGCCGTCAAGGTCTCCCGACCTCAATCCCATCGAACACGTCTGGGATGCTCTTGGCAGAAGTCTGCGCACTCTCCAGAACCAACCACAGAATTTGCAAGATCTTGGCACCATTTTGCAGCAACAATGACGTCGTCTTCCCAATCATGTGTTCACAAGCATCATAAGGTCCATGCGGAGGCTTTGTGTGGCAGTTGTCAACGCACATGGTGGCCATACACGCTACTGAACTTGTGTACCATCAGATTCTCGTGCTTGGGACTTATGATTTAAACTGTTGATGTTATAACCGAATACCGTAGGTGCTTGGAACAAATTATGGTTACCACCGTTAATTAAAATCCTTCTTTGGACATTAATGATTAACAGTTACCTTCTCTAATACATTTGTCCGTTGTATATCATATATGGGATTACTTTTAAACGTGTGAAGTTTTTAATTTGACTTAGTATATATTTGAGTGCAAACTTCATGATTTAGTTCGAACGACTGAACGCTTATCGCGATGACTGAGATGTAGGGATATTTATAGGCGACCTTTGATGAGGGTTTCATGTCACTGAGATGTACAGTGTTAGTTGATACTGCATTGTCTGTATGTGGTATACACATATAACATTGGAGTTTACTGAACCTATTTTAATCCCCATTCACTGATAACAATCGTTATATTTAATTTGCATTTGAATAGTACAGTGAGTGATTGGCGTATCTGTTAGAAATGACAGTTTGTTGTTTAGAAGAACAAAGCGTGGATTTTTTCAAAGTTCAACATCTGTCGCATACAACATGAATTAATACGGTATTGGGAACCGCCTAACCCTTTATCATATTGTTCACAATAGCATAAACATAACAATTCCTGTTATTTGACTTTAATATGAACTAATATTGGACATAATGTCTAATTTTCACAACAATTGTTATAGGATTTGAAGCATTGTCCTAGCAGTCTTGCAAAAGCTATACACATAACTAAATGGTACTTCCTCCATAGTAGCTAACTTATCCCACGTCTAGATACCTATAAAAAAATTAGAACACAAATTTAATAAGCGTTTCAAATATCCCTTTTTTCACTTTTCATTGATTGTTGCCCGTTATTCGTATTGATGCCTTTTTGAATACGATTATTTACTTATTTACAACAATAACATGTACATGTGCCGGTCAAAACGATGTGATGGCTTGATATTTTATGTAACGATAATTGTCATTGCACTCTAAAAGCAAAGACAGTTAAAACAGAGATACGTGTAGAGGCATTTTCATATAAAAAACATGTATATACTGAACAACAGTATGTGAAAACACAGTGCCGATTACAAACAAGGGTGCTATTCTATGGTTAAAATGTTTATGGTTCGAGTCTAAGACGGTGCCAATGGCAGCAAAAAACTCAGTCAATATTTTACATTTACATTATAAACACCTTTAACCATTACCATGCGCGCCAGAGAAAATACGTTCATATTACTCTTATTTTGGAATATAGTTGTTGCTACAACTAGTATGGTCTGTTATATTATGTTCTCAATGTTTATCTATAAGAACATATATCGGTAAGTATGTTAAATCTCACCTTCACAAAAGCTCCACAGCAAATAGATCTATCCCTTCACCCTGGATCATATCTCACCTGGATCACACCTGGTTTATATATGTTAAGCGTGTCATAGCCGACACCTGTGCGTTTGATTAGATCACATCATGCATTGTCTCGTGGATACAACGCTATGATTTGATACACAGGAAACTGTCATTTGAGTACTGAATCGGCAACAGTTTTAACTGTTTACACGCCTCCGGGCAGGACCCTTAATCTCCAGCGCTATCAATAAATTTCAGTTAACATCTCCTCGAGTCGGCTGATCTTACGTATATACATACACGTGGGACAATGACCTTGCCACACGTTACGTAATACCTCGCTCTACAAAACCCGACTGGCATGGTCAGTCAGGGAGACAGCCTGGAGACAGCCAGAAGATCGACTCGTGTAAGTGACAGAACGGTTCTCCCACCCGGGAAGATTGGCCACTTGGTCCCTGTGTGCGTTCTGTCACGTTCTTATCAACATGTACCCTTTCGACTCATTTCAACCTGCATCAATAAATACGGCTGCTGTCGTCTTAAACTTCATCCCTGAGTTTTGTCATCCGTCATCACCCTGAGCTACCATCCGAGGGCCGAAACCAACGCCCTTGGACACATGCACGTATGTCTCTTCTAGATTTTGAAAAAGCTATTTACGGCCATTATTCGGCCACTTTTGTTCAAATGAAATCAAAATCATTTAACAAGCTATATATGTATGTGTAGTTAGTGGTGGGGCTCACTACAAAGCTTCCTTTTTTCGCGATACTTAAGTTTACATTTATACGATACAATATCACATCCACACCCGCACACACTGTTATATAAAGTAGGAAATATGATCTAACTCACATTACCTCGACAATAGCAATTCTATTTGTGTATGGTTTGTACATCTACCTGCAGGATTAATACTTCTATATTCAAATATAAGTGACAACACCAGTTGCAGAATCGAAATATGTGTTGCATTTCCTTGTCGGTTCGTAAATTACATATCTTTATTTATACCACGAAACAACACAAATATTTTATAATTGCATGCCGATGGCTTTATAGAGGGTCAACAAAATGAGAATGTACTTTAAACACAAAGTATATCATTAAGATATGTACAAATCAAATATAATCATAAGAAGTTTCTGCCAAAAGCAGAGTCAATTGTACTATATCATAGGCATATGTTTATGAATCACTACCAATCAGGGATGATAACATGTGTTCCCGAAAATGTGAACGTATCCTGCCCCACCGGTGTCACCCGTCATCCAGTGTCGTAAACATCGACTATATTTATCTTTATCATACTAAAGAACAATACTTTTGTCGGTAAAAAGTGAATTATCACCTACAGTGATTAGAAGTTCATATTCTCACTGGGAAGTCAGTTTAATTCTAAATAACCCCTCGTGTTCACATTTTTCAATTTCTTTCTTTTCTGTGAACCGACCCACGCGATTGGTTTTATGGCCATACACTGGAAGAAACACAGTAAAGGTCACACAAATGTTACATTTGTGATTAGGTGTGTTTTGTATCTATTCTTTATGTCATTGAATGCCTCGTGATATTTACGTGAGCATGATGATTATGAAACATATCGTCGTCGTCCTTGGAAATACTAAATGCTCCTCCAGTATTCCACATATTATTGGCCCAGTATTCAATCTGTAAATATAAACAAATCGAAGTTACACTATATGTTCATAGACAGTTCATGAAAGCAACCATAAACCTAGCCTGGCAACCAAATTGTTTTCTTGATTTAACGTGTCCCTCCGTGATAAGAGAAACGTATAATATGTTGTCGTTAAAGTTTAACGATTCTATTAACTCTTTTAATTTCTGTCAGAACTCACCTCGCTCCCTGGTATATACACTTCATGGAGCTAACAAAGACGGGACCGAAGGGAAGTCATACTGTCGTGAGTACTGTCAGCCACAACACGATGGCAAATACAAACAAAATTGTCGCCATAATTAAGAAAACATTTATCATCACTGCTAACTTTACGGGAGAAAGAAACTGTCAAGTAGAATAAATCAGACTGGTTTATATTACTGTATGGATGCTTACTACATTATGTGAGAGAACAAGATTTGTGAAATCGCTCATGTACAGAATGTGAACATTCATACAGAATATAAATATTACTTCAATATTATTTCTTATCGATGTGTACTTGATAAGGGCCCACGTACATATTCAGTAGGGTAGGGCAAGTCATGCTCCCCCTCTTTACAATGGTTCGTTTTGTTGTTTAATGGTTGCTGGAATTATGTTTTTGTGTGCCACATACCTGGAGGCTATATTTTTACTGAGAACTGAGATAGTTACAAATATGATTTAAACACTTACCACAAAACAAAACTGTGAAATAGAGCTGGTCCCAAAAATAGAAAACCGGCAGATAGACAATAGAATTCTAGCCATGTCCATAATGTGGGAAAATCCTTTATATAATATATTCTTAGCAACTAGTAACTATGTGTATTTTCAATTAGAGTAGAGGACATTTTGTCAAGCAGCAATCAGCCCTCAAAATTGATCAAATAACTCATAACCTTCCACTGATTTACTGAACTGTAGAGACAAGTGAAACCTCGTCATATTGTTCATGTTTACATCTATGCATGCTGTTTCATCATGTCAACAAACTATCCACAATACTCTATGGAAAGAGAGGTGTTTTTGTGACAAACTTAAAATCAAACTACAAAATCAACAGCTATTATCTGAGGGCAGATGACAAAGTGAATCACTTTAAATGTCTCCAAACCTTTTGGAAATAAAGAGTGTTTCACGTTTTATGCATTTTCCAGTGACGTTCGTGCAATAATTGCAAGATGCTTTCCGGTAAATGTTATAATTTAAGTAAGTGAATTTTGTCCAATATAAAATATAATTAATTTCATAATTTTAATCATTTCAGACATCGCCCATCGAAAATCGCCCATCGAACACCATCCATCGAACATTTTCGCGACCGAGCAAGGTGGCTTGATGCGGTTTTTCCAACTGAAATTGCTCGCCATCTCTATTGTCACAAAAACAAGATGAAAAGCGCAAAAAGATTGTTTGGAATGCACATATATATATTAACAGTTGATCAGGAATGTAATCTAATGCAGTACTAAGAAGACAAATGCCTCCAGCTCCTACTAAGAGGTTAAAAGCAGTCAGGTTTAATGACATCACTTCTTCGTTCAGAAAAACATGCCAAATGCAATACAGCACATCAATTCCCATGCTTTGAACAAATTTGAATTTCCGGTTCAGTAACATCAATTCATGATTCAGAAAAGGAATCACATGCTCAATGCAGTAGAACTATGAAATACAAAGTAACATGTTTCATGTCTTCGGTTTGATAACATCACTTCCGGAATGGTGAACGTATACCATATGCAGAAAAAAATGAATTAATTTAGAAAGCCCCAAGCCTCCAGGTATCTCTATACCGACATTATAAACACTTTCGGTTTCAAAACTTTACTCGTAGTATGAGTAAACATATGCTTCATGCTGAACTACTGTGACACAAAGTCCCGTCTGGCTACCTTAATGAAAAAGTTATAATCAGTTCGGGTGAAACTAAATCATTCCTGAACTTGTGTCACTTCTTATAGTGCTAGACCGCTGAGATACCATGTCAAGTTACAAATGGATACCCCACTCAAAATACTGACTCAGAAGAGACCACTTCCCTTAATATCGAACGCCACGCAAGGTGACAAAAGGTACCACTTTTAACGTCATGTGGTATGACGTAGCCAGGGGATCGAACCACCGACCTTCCGCTCTCCGGCCAGACGTTCTATCCACAAGACCACGGAGTCGGTCCTGCGGTTTGGGGATACGCATGCTCCGCGCAGTATAACTTTGAAACAGAAAGTGTTATTCTCGCTGCCACAGTGATAACAAAGTCATAAACAACTTCGCGTCAGTTCCATTTTTGGGAAAACATATGCCAAATGAAGTGCAACCTTAAAACAGAAAGGCAATGCATATAGCTACCCTAATAACATTTAACTAATTACAGTTATATTTAATGACGACCTTTAGTATTTGTAAAGAGCTGCAAGAAAACTTCAAATTGAAAGGACATTCGATGTTGTCAAGGAATTTTGTGTATGTTGTTTAACACCACACTCAGCAATATTCACACTATATGACGGCGGTCTGTAAATAATCGAGTGTGGACCAGACAATCAAGTGATTGACATCATGCGCATCGATCCTCGCAATTGGGATACGATGACATTCGTTAATAAAGTCAGCAAGCCTGCCCACCCTATCCCGTTTGTCGCCTCTTACGACAAGCATAGTCGCCTCTTACGGCATGCATAGGTTGCTGAAGATCTATTCTACCCCGGATCTTCACGGGTCCTGACAATATTGATGACATTGTTTTTGTGTTGATCTAGACAGACACACTATTCATGTCTGCTTGTTTTACAACTGACGGAATGTGTGCCACATAGTGACTATATGTCTACACTGGCAGGCAACATTTAACTGCCTAAAAACTGTACAGACGAGGTTTCTACTAAATGATTTGTTAATGAGACTGTAGTTTGTATCATGATAGAGAGAGAGAGAGACTTCATTATTGATGGGAAGAATGGTTGGAACGGTTTATCAACATGACAAGATATCCAAATTCATTGTTTTGTGTGTAAAGGGTGAAGCAAAATCAACCTACCACAGTTTTACAGCATTGAAATCATATTTCTCTCCGGAAGAACAAAGGCAAATTTTCCATATTTGGCTACAATGTAGGAAGACATTGAAAGGAGAAAGTGTTTGCATGTTCAGAGATCAGAAAGTTACCTCATTGAGGTCATACAGCACTTACATGAATATCCATGTTGGATCCAAGAATAAGAGGGATGATGGATCTGTGTGTCCAGCTACTTGTAGGGATCTGATTCTTGGTACAGGCATTTTCGGAAAACTACAAACTACATATGTCATACAAAATTATGATGATGGATGGCACTCTGTTGCATAAACACCTCACGGTAACAAATCGGTTGTTGCCAGGCTACAGTTTAGAGAGTGATTGCAAAGACAGAAAATGAAATTGTATTTCCAGTAAAACTGAATTCGTCTTTACTGGATGTTTGGAACAATCAGATAT